GCCTCCAATTTCCAGACTTGCTGGAGTGAGTTGCAAACGCTATTCCCCTAGAGCAGTGATGGCGAACCTTTTGAGCTCGGCGTGTCAGCATTTTGAAAAACCCTAGCTTAACTCTGGTGCCGTGTCACATATAGAAATTTTTTTTGATATTTGCAAACATAGTAAAACAAAGATTTATATTTTTGATATTTATTTTATATATTTAAATACCATTTAACAAAGAAAAATCAACCAAAAAAAATGAGTCCCCGTGTCACCTCTGACACGCGTGTCATAGGTTCGCCTTCACTGCCCTAGAGGCTCCCCCACGGAACCCTGTGGGGCAAGGGGTACTCTTAGGCGGGGGGGGGGGGTCCTGCTGTCTGCTTTCCTGCAGATGCTGTTTGCTTTCTGACTCCCTCTCCTGTGTGGCCCTCTGGCCCTTGCTGGCTGGTCACTGCCCCCTGGCATCAGAACTCTGAAACCAGCGACCCTGCTGGCCATTCACAGGCATGGCCCAGTGAGGGTGGGGGACAGATGTTAGTTTCTTGTCTCCCCGCCCCCATCCCCCCAAAACACACACATATGCTCAGTGTGTATCAGTGCCCTGGGCAGGGGTCCAGGCAGGGAGAGTGATGGGAAGCTGCAGGCTCTAGTCTAGGGGGGTGTAAATGGACTAGGCGGTGTGTGTGTGTGTGTGTGTGTGTGTGTGTGTGTGTGTGTGTGTGTGTGTTGGGCAGAGACAGTGGCAGTAATCCGTACGAGATGGGGGCAGGATTGTCTTCAGACTGCCCCCTGGGGAAATTACATGCCAGCAGCTTCAGCCACTACCAGCTGGCATGCGGGCTTGGGACCACCAAGAAGCCTCCCACACAGCCTCCAGCCCGGGCACTGAAAATTCCCAGCTACATTCCCTGGCCAGGGTGCTGGCACTGGGACAAGAAAGTTGGCCTGGTGGGTAACTGTTCTCTCCCTCAGCACATACACAGACACACACAGAGAAACCCACAAAGACACACACACACACACAGAGGTACACACACACGCACACAGACACATACATACAGACACTTCTTCCCAGATGCCATAACACTATCAGAATGAACTTACCCTCTACCTCCACACACTCAACTCGCCCCAGCCACCCTGCCTCCTGCTACTCTCTCCTTTTTCTGCCAACCCCCCTTCACGCCCTCCTTTTCTCTTTTCTCCCCTTTCTAAAGTGCAGACTGTTATGGATAAAACTCTTGAAGCAGTTTCCTGGGGCAGCAGAAGGCGGGGGAGGGGGAGGAGGGTTCTGAACTCAACTCTGATTCTTTCTTCAGCCCGAGGAAACTTACAAATCAATTGGATGGAACCCCAGCCCGAGTAAGGGCCCTGCAGTCACAGTGCATGCAGCTGGAGGGCCCTGGTTCTGGGTGCTATCCAAGTGCCTCTAGTCTGCAGGGTAAGAATGGCAGCAGATGCAGTGAGCTGCCTACCCTCTCTAAGCAAGAGGCAAAGCAGAGTTGGGTGGGTAATTTGGGGGGAGTGGGCAGGGAGTGAGGAGATAGGGATGGAAACTCCTTCCAGAATGGCCTATGGTCACAAACCAGAGAGAAGCTTGGCCATGAGAAGGTGCAGGGCCAGGAGGGCATAAAGGACTGAAGTAGAGCTGTGGGCTGACTCCACCCACTCTTATTGGGGGGGAAGAACTGAGGCTACGGGGGGAGGTTTTTATTCTCCAGTACACCCCACTAGAGTGCTCCACCCTCTTTTGGCATTAGGTCTGAGTTGGTTTAAAGGGAGAGCATTCCAGAGATACAGAGAAGTACAAAGAGAAAAAGACCAGAGAGAAGCAAGCATAAAAGTAGGGAGAGGAAAAAGTGTGGAGAAGGTGCAGAAGAGGTATAGGAGATGTGGGCCGGAAGAGTCCTGGAAGGAAGGAAGGAAGGAAGGAAGGAAGGAAGGAAGGAAGGAAGGAAGGAAGGAGAGGGACCCCAGCATTTGTCCAGCCTCCAAACCCAGAAGATGGAGATGGGAAGCAGCCTTGCCCAGGGCTGACTGCAGCTTCACTCAGGGAACCCTGAGCAAAT